AAATAAAATCTTAAAAAAAAAAAAAAAAAAATGTTAATACAAAACACTCCTTGGTTTTATAATTAAAATTTTCAATTTTAAATGAATCTTATCTCACATATAAGCTTAAAAAAAAAAAAAAATTTCCTTACATGAACTTGAGTTTATCATTAACCCAGATACAAAAAATAATGCTAGGGGCGCCTGGGTGGCTCAGTCCTTAAGTGTCTGCCTTCGGCTCAGGTCATGATCCCAGCATCCTGGGATCGAGCCCCGCATCGGGCTCCCTGCTCAGCAGGAAGCCTGCTTCTCCCTCTCCCACTCCCCCTGCTGTGTCTCTCTCACTGTGTCTCACTGTGTCTCCCTCTGTCAAATAAATAAATAAATAATCTTTTAAAAAAAAATGCTATTTTCAAATAGTACATGATGAAAGAACCAGTATAAAACCAAAATATTCAACCACCAAATTCAATCAAGGACAGATTAAAATTATTAATCCTTTCTTATCTTTATCAACACTTACTCTTGAGAGATTCTGATGAGGAGAATCACAAAGGCTTTCACGGGAACTCTCATTCCTATAATTATGTTTTCTTGGGCTCTTAGGTCGTGTCCGACTTGGCACGTCACTATCTGAGGGTCCAGATGCATCCATCTTCAGGAAAAGTAAAACAAGTTTTTAAAATCACAGATGTAGTACTAAAACTACAAACAACCCAAATGTCCAAAGAGTGACAAATTTCACTATACACTATCAAAACTCTCATCCCTTAATATCACCAATGATTTCATCAGAAAAGTCCTTTGGTACAGGGAAAGTTTTCAATAATTCTAACTTGTACCTGAAAGCTCAAATTTTGTATCATTAACAAATATATCATTAACAAATACTGTTTTCGGGGCACCTGGGTGGCTCAGTGGTTAAGCCTCTGCCTTCCGCTCAGGTCATGATCCCAGGATCCTGGGATCGAGCCCCGCATCAGGCTCCCTGCTCGGCAGGAAGCCTGCTTCTCCCTCTCCCACTCCCCTGCTTGTGTTCCCTCTCTCACTGTGTCTCTCTCTGTCAAATAAATAAAATCTTTAAAAACAAAACAAAGACTATCTCATTATACCTGCAGTAATCTCTGAGATATAATGTTAAGTGTAAAAAGCAAGATGGAGAAAAGCACACTGTATATAGCCTATTACTGATCATTTAAGAGAGAGGAGTACAATATATATTTACACACTTGCTTACACAAAAAGAAGAGGCCAGAAAATAACTAAATCTTACATAGAAGAAGCAGTGGCGGGAACAGGGATACAAACCTCTAAATATACCTTGTGTTACAGATGTGACTTGGTGGTGGGAGCTGAAAATATCCCGGTCAAGAATCTTTGAAAAGCATTTCCCTACTGCCCATACACTTATTTAGACACATTTCCAAGGATAACTCAAAATACAATTTAAATATTACCTTTTTCTTTAATTCTTCTTGCTCCTTCTTACTTAAAGTTCGCTTAGCTGTACTCATTTTTCCAATACTGAATGCTTTCAGTTTGTTTTCTAGAAGAGGCTATGAAAAGAAATAAAATGCATACCTTTACATACATTCTTAATACTATCTAACTCAACTGGTACAGCTTAACTGATAACCAAGTCGTCAGATTAGATGACTTTTAAAAAGAAATTTCACCATAAAGCAGAAAAGCTGAGGCTACTCTTAAGCATCAAGTGCCTACCGTGGGCTTGATTCTGATTTAAGTATTCCTTAAGGAATGTCTTCACTTGCTAATTAAAGGTCAATAACATAAAAAAGCCATTTTCTTTTAAAAAAAAAAAAAAGTGAAAAAGCAGAGAGAGATGCCAAGGCTTAGAACTCATTCAATGGACTTGCTGGCAGCAAGAATAAAAGCAGTTGAGAAAAAGTACAGAGGGTTCTGAGCAAAAGAAGCAGTGAGGGAAAACATTCAAATGGGAGAAGGCAGCATATATTTCCAAAGTTCAGTAGCAGAAATCTAAATACCATCTATAACCTCCATTTCAAGTCCTACAAATCACATCACTTCCTTCTATAATTCAGTAAATAAACTCATTCTTCATCAATAATACTGATGTTTAGGAACATAATAATAGTATTTCAGGTTACAGCAGAAGTAAAATCATCTACAGATCTTTAGTTGTTCAGTTATTCATTTAAATGTTAGATTTTGATTCATAAACTTAAAAGACAGTAATGTCTATTAAATACGACCTAAAATATTAATCTGTAATTGAAATCCGAAGGTTTCGCTCTTGCCTACCAAAATGAGAAGTTAACCAATTACAAATTAGACTTTATCAATTCCCTGGTTATAAATAGGCTTGCCCCTGAAAGAAGCAGAATAGAAGAGTAATACTGCTACAAATTATTTTAAAGTTACATTAAAATCACTTTGAAAAAATAAAAGTTTATAACCCAAAAGTCAAAATGAGGTTTCAGGAATAGATTCAAAGTAAAGCATCTTTGGTTTTAATTTTAAAAGTTTAAACAAATGGTAAAATTACATATAAATTCAATGAAAAACATAATTTTACAAAACAAAATCAGAAGGGCTCAAATTTTATTTATATCCTAAGAGCTAAACCTACACACCACAGAGAAAAATGGTTAAGGGAATTATGGAATGTCTACACAAAGAAATATAATCATCCATTAAAAAGTTTCACAGAATTTTTGCTAAAATTAAAAAAATTAGAACTGAAAACAGAGTATTTTAAAATGTATTCCTGTAAAATGGATCTCAGCAAAGTAAAAATATATTTATGCTTAGAATATTAAACAATAAAAATAAAGTGTTACCAATGTTAATACTGGCTGGTGATGACTGCCTTCTCTATATTTCCAAATTTAATTTTTATTAATTTATTAATTCCCCAAGTTTAATAACAAGAAAAATTATATGAAATAGAAAAACTAGAAAAAAGACTAAAAGAGCATGAGAACGCTTTGCAGATACACATAATAAAGATGCTCCCTCTCGGGCGCCTGGGTGGCTCAGTTGGTTAAGCGACTGCCT